AGTGAAATATAAAAATATTTCATGGGTGAGTAAAGCATGTTTTTTACATTAAATTTAGTTAATTAACTTTATATCCAATAATATATTTAAATAGTTAGGTGTTTATCGTTGGTTAGTTCCATAAAATCATTATATAATATAATAGAAAATTAAATCAGTAAATAATTTGATGAATTTCTCTTCTCCGAAATGTTAACATTATCCACTAACAATTAGTGTGAAAACTTTTGATCTATCGATGATAGGCAATGAATAATAAGAGTTTAATAACATGTACAATGTAATTCAGATTTAGTCCCTAAAAACTTACTAGGCAGTACAATCCTTCCACATTTTTAGATTAAATGTATAGATATACTTTCAAATATCTTATATATAGAGCTCAGACAAAAGAGTTTTGTAGTTCAAAAATACTTATGGAGTTACGAGGTTTTCATTTTCTACTGTTGATGTAATAAATTGGGTTTTAATGTTCTTAATGAAACTGAAACTTAATTCGTTCTTAATGAGTTTTTACAGGTAGTTATCTGTAAAGTTTATTTCCGTTAAAAATTCACTTCAAAAACTTTTATTATAGCCCAACTTTGCCAGGAAATAATTTCGGTTCAAAGTAGAGTGGTTAGAGAAAGTTGTGATGCATGCACCTGATTTTTTTTTTAAGATGTAAAAACTCATATTCGATCACAATAAATATTTAGAATACTAGTAACAGTATAAGTAGGAAATCATAAGGAAATAATTCACAATTATCACAAAACTACCTTCAAATTAAAACAAATTTAATTAGTCATATCTTTATACAATTTGCACATAAGGAAGACTTTATGTTTGAGGACACTGCAAGTCATCACAATATGTATAAAATTACATTAAAGAAATCAGTAAATAAGGTTGTCTAAAATATTCAATCCTAAAAACATATAGATACATTTTTATTAATAAAACAAAATAATTTTACCAAACGTTTCAATTTATCTTTTTTATTTTTGTTTTCATTCTATTTCTAACAAAATATACAATTTGACAGCAAGACCAGCAATTATAAATATTTTACTTATGTTAATCATTGACATAACTATATTTTAACTAAAAATGTAAGGAATAAATAATATATTTCTCAGGCTAATTGTAAGTAAAACTGGAATAACTTATTATATTTCAGTGGGTATCGACAAAAAAAATAAACAAAACATTTTATTTTATATATACAAAATTTATATCACAATAAAAATTAATTTCATATCACACATGCAAATCTCTCTATAGTCATACTAATATTGACAAATTAATATAATGACATATACAATTTCCAAGTGATTCCTTTACATGAGAATACATTTTGAAAATTAAAAACTTTACGATATATAAACAAGCAATTACATTAGCAATAAGAGGAAAATATTATACTATATGCTTTACAATAGGCTTCAGATGGGGCATTCCTTTAATTTAATAAAAGAATCAACTATTATTACTTTAATAGACTCTCGTGTGCTCATAAAGAAAGAAAAAAAAAAACTACAAGCTTTTAGACTAAAAAACATTGTTTACAATATATATATATAAAGCTTTAGATGATTTGCCATAGAACTTAAAATTATATTTAATCGTTACTACTTACAATGAGTTTTATGTTAGAATTAAAATAAGCAATCAATATAATATTAAATTGTGGAATTTTCGTTTGTTTTATTCTAAATAATAATGCACCAATGATTTGAAATATCCACCAGTTATAATTATTTTATGAAACTCAAATTAAAAAGAGAAAAAAAAATCTTTTTTGTTTAAATATTTACAGATATACCATAATTACAATAAGACTGTTATATAGTTCCTTAAAAAGCAATATTCATTTATGCATAGTAGATTAAAAAAGAAAAAAAATGATTAATTAAAACAAAATTTATAAGACATTATACCACCAGAAATAATATAATTTTCAAAAACCTATTTACTAGAATAAAAGAGATAGCATAGTTGGTGTTTCAATAAGTTACACCAATATTGTTATTTTTATTTTGATATAACTGTATTGTTTTTAATACTGACCTGCAACGTTCATAGCACCAAATGTAAAAAAGATCATTAAATCATATAATTAGTAGTTAATTTAAAAAACAATTAGTAACAAAATGTGTAATGGAATATTGTAAATCATTAAGACAATTACTTTTTCTCCATATTTTGAAGAAATCTGATTAGGTATGCCAAAATCAAAGAAATAAAAAGTTGGTTGAATATTTCAATAAAAAAAATATATATACATAACCTATTACATTTAGACGATTCATATCTACAATAAATAAATATCTCCCCCCATAGAAAAAGACCTATTAATTATTATTACACAAATTAACACTTTCATATACATATATTTTGTTTTTGCATAAAGTGGCCAATATTAAAATTACTCAGTCATTATTATAACATACTCACATATATTTGAAAATATATTAAATGCTATCTATATAAAATAGAATTGGCATTGATTGAAAGCTTGCTAGAAAACAGTCACAAACTGAAATAAGAAAATATGTATATCCATGTATTTACAGATATAAATTTAATACTACTAATTAAAGCTTCAAATAAAGTAGATTGTATGTGACATACGATGTTACATTATGGATATTCCTTTGCACAGATAATTCTTGATTTATTAATACTAGCAATATAACTTTGCTATTTTCATAACATAGCACATCTGATCGTAAACCTAATGGACTAGGAGCTATCGCTGTTTTTGTTTAACAGAAGGACTTACAGCTAGAAACCATTTTAAATTATAGATAATCCCCACCTGAATAGACAACCACGGTCAGTCGCTTGAAAGCCGTTGCTATATATAAGAAAATTTAAATTAAAGAGATGAAATTTGACGGTTCATTTAGATATAATGTCAGGAATATGTCCTAAAATAGAATTCACCTTAACTGACGATGTACTCTGTTGTGTTTTGAAAACTGACGTGTGAAAGTCATCAAATTAGGCCAGTTGGAAGGTAGTTGGATGAGTAAAAAAATTCAAATAGTCAGTTTCTCTTAGGTATTTTATGGTTTTTAGGACGATAAATCTGAATTTAATGTTCCTGAACAAAATTTTCCATTGCATTCCGAGATGTATGCAAAAAACAGCCAAATTTCCTAGCTTTTTTGTGCATGATTCTGAAACAATGCATTTTATTGAAATTATTATTACATACAAAGTTAAAGAAGATAAAATTTACTTTTGATGAAGGTCAAATGGGTATGGAGTTAGAGAATATTGACTGTATGCTTACTTAAGAAGAAATATCGGTTTTTATCGGTTTATCCCAAAACTCAAAATCTATGCATCTCTCGAATAAATTCATTATAATCAATTTGAGTTTTGAGGGAAAACCCGATATTTCTTCTAAAATAAGCATATAGTCATTATTATCTCTAACTCCTCACCTGTTGGACTTAAAAAGCTATGTATAAAATTGATAGTAAATTGTATCTTCTTTAACTTTGTACATGATAATAATTTCGATAAAATTCATCGTTTCGGAGTCATGTCCAAAAAAACTAAAAAAAAGTTAGGAAATTTTGCAGTTTTTTGGATACATCTCGGACGGAACGCAATAGACATTTTTGTGCAAGAACATCAAATTCAGATTCATCATCCCAAAAAACATTAAATACCAAAGAGAAACCGACTATTTGAATTCTTTCCTCATCCAACTAACTACCTTCCGAATGGCCGAATTTGATGACTTTCACAGGTCAGTTTTCAAAATGCAACAAAGTATATCAGTATATCATTCAAGTTTATCATCAGTTCAGGTGAATCCTCTTTTAGGGATACATTCTTGAAATCATATAAAAATTTCAGACGTATTTTCTTCCGTTCAATGAACCGTCAAATTTCGTCTCTTTAATTTAAATTTTCTTATATAAAGCAATGGCTTTCATTCAAGCAACTGACCGCAGTTGTGTATTTAGGTGAAGATTATCTATAATTTAAAATGGTTTGTAGCTGTAAGTCCTTCTGTTAAATGAAAACGGCGGGAGCTCCTAGTCTATAAATATATACGTATATCTGTGACTTGGCAGTACTTACATATTTTGCTATTAGCTCTCTAAGGACCAAGACACAGATATATTTATATGAAAGAAAAAATAAAAAGAATAGATTTGGCTTTTGTTAATCTTATTATGGTAAAAAGAAAAAACTTTTTGGAAGGAAAATTTATAAACAATAATCTTAGTGGACAAACCATTTCAAGTAATAATAAACTCATTAGATTTTAAAGATCTGTAAAAATAATGAATTGCCAATCATAAATATATGTTAAATTAAGTACATTATGGTAGTTAAATTAAGAGGAAGTAACTTAACCTGATATAATTAGTTAAGGGTTAATGAGGAAGAAAATTACATAAATGTTTCATCTCGAATAAAAAAAAAGTTAATGACAGAAAGCAAAACATACAACATCAATACAATAAATAAAAACAAGCAATAATTTTTGGAACATGAGCTTTTGTCTTTCTTTCTTTTGTATTTAGGATATCTGTTTTAGTAATTAACCAGAACTGTAATTAAGTAGAATTAATTTAAGCACCTATCAGTCAACTTTATTCAATAATTTATATCAAATCAAACATCTTTTTAATTAATAAGAGCTAAGAATTCTTTAATTAAATTGTAAAACTTAATTTTTAGTCAGAGAAGAATTTTCATTAGACTCAATATTGTACCATTGGATAAGAAGTATTAATAAAAAAAAAAAAATTGAATTTATTTTATATATTTACTATGGGTGTATATGTGTGGATTTGTTTTAAAATGCATGTATGCAAATGGAACGATACATATATAAATAAATACCTAAATATCAGATTTTACCTGGAGTATTTTAATAGTAATATCATGTAATAATTAAGAATATGAGGGATCTAGTAGGATCTGTTCTCTATTTAAAAAAAAAAATAATGAATAACTGTATTTTTTTTTAAATATTGTAAAATTAACAGATATAAAAAAATAATAAAGAAAAGAAAAAAAATAGTCTATTAATTTATATATACTTTTCCTTAAAATTTATACAATAAACCAAAATAGACACTCTTCAATATTAAAAATAACATTAACTAATGTATATATATGTTCTGATATCAGCTCTTAAAAATAAATGACTTCAAATTAAGAGATCCGGTTTCTGATAACACTGAGTGTTGTTAAGGAAGCAAATAATTGGAAACAGAATCGAAAAGTAACCCAATTAATTTTAGTATGAAAGTTGAAAAGTAATTTTAAGTTGAACTTGTAGAAGGCTGAGGTGAAAAATCTTCCCGGGAATGTTTTTTACGAGGAGCATCGTAATCTTCTACAGGGTGTTGTCTTTTGTTATTCTCAGGTAACTAAAAACAAGTCATTATTAGTAAATACAGCATCTGATTGTGAAAATATTGGCGATAGTTAAAACTTGCAATTAGCATTAGTATGATAATTGTGATTTCAATATAGATTTAAGGATTTTTCTAATTAATAAATATGTCAAAGAAACAATCACGGATATACTGACTGTTATTTAAGTTTTGGTTAGTTATGATCTGTTCACTGAAATTAAAACTATTCTTTACCTCCAAGTTTCTGAATAATAATTGAGAAAACTTGTTTGAAAAATATTAATTATAAGTAAAAAATTAAAATTAATGCAATTTATAAAATTCGAATGTAACAACTTTTACAAATTGTATTTTGAATTTTTCTTAATTCGCAACATATTTCATATCAAGATATTTGAATGTGAATTATAAGAATTACTTTTCAATTCATACAAAGCAAAACAATGAATTGCTTACACCATATTAAGAAAAAAATATTTAAAATAAATAAAGAAAGCATGAATAATAAAGTAGATTGATGTTTAATATCAGTTAAAAAAAAAATATGGAGTATGAAGTCCAACTTTTTTGTTTTAATTAACAATCAGGAAAAAATGTTCAGATTTTTCAAATAATTATCAAAAAGTAAACACTAGATGAGCAAGTTTTGACTAGCTCCTTGTGTCTTTTCCTAGATGGCAGTTGTGGTGATTAATAATTCACAATTTTACTAGGAAATGCCACTGGAAACAAGGATTGCTTCACAGTCTAACCTCTTCGTCATTTTGTTGCTATAACAGAACCATTCAAAACCCAATAGATGCTTAAACGATTTCAGATTAGCCTTACATTTTTTTCATCAGGTAAACATGCCATGTTTCAAGCTAAATAAGGATTATTTGCGACACATACTGCTTATCTTGTTCAATTAAAAGAAAAATTGTGAATGAAAGCTGTGTCATATACGTCTGAAAACTTACGGTGACAATATTCTAATACAATTTAAAAGTGGTGATAATTAAGTGAAAGACAAAGACCACCTTGTGTGTGTGGATTAAGACCAGATGTCTCCAAACAACAGCCCGCGGGTTATTTTTCCCTGCAAGCACCCCAAATCCGACCCAAAAAAGTTTCTTTGATTACATGTAAACATTTAATAAACTATTGATGAAATGAAAAAAATTAATTTGAGCAAAATATTCAAACAGAAGTTTACTAAAATATGTATTGCATGGTTTTTTGTTATCTTAAAAAGCTCATTTAACAACTGAAGTCTCATTTATAGAACAAGATTTTCATCACAAGCCATGGCCTGCGGGCCTTAATGGAGGTCTCAATGCGGCCCGTGGGCCAACAAGTTTGAAGACCTCTGGGTTAGAAGATTCAAAAGCGGTGAATTTGACTTGAAAGACAAAGGACAACCAGTCAATTGAAAAAAATTCAAGGTGGCAAATTGCAAGCATTGTTGGATTAAGACGATACACAGACTCAACAACAAAAGAAAGTTTAATTTGTGATCTTCTACATGCCAGGGGAAAGATCCTGAAAGAAGGGAAATGGGTACCTGTTGATCAAAACAGAAAGACAGAAGAAATAGAAAAGCAAAGAACAGTGCAAAGTTTTCTACAAAAAATGAAGACTTCCTAGCATTGGGTCACGAATAGAGATGAAAAATAGATTTCAAGAACCCAAAACTAAAAAAATCATGGATTAACCCGGGACAATCATTAACATTGACTGCAAGACCGAATCGCTAGGAAAGAAGACATGCAGTGCATTTGGTATGATCAGAAGGGTGTCGTGTACCATGAGCTCCTAAAATCAGGTGAAACAGTTGGTTCTGCTCACTATCATCAATAAATGATCAATTTAAACCATGCACTGATCGAAAAGCAACCAGAATGTGCTACATGCATACACAGCACGACAAACCCCCTATCACACACAGCGAAAGTAGTCAACATTTCTATCCTTGGCAGGGAACTCTTTCTCCACCTGCCGTATTCACTACAGTAGGTCTCTTCTAATTACCACTTCTATGCACTCTCCATGAAACATTTTAACGATTATGGGGATGTCGAAAAATGGCTTGATGATTGGACTATCTCAGGTGTATGCTTTTTCTTGGGAGGGCATCAATAAATTGCCAGATAGATGTGGGAAATATGTAATTAGCAATGGTGCATACTCTCAATAAAACATTTTTACCTTTCTCCTAATTCAAACTTTTTTTTTCTAAAAACAAAATCAAGAATTATTAACCACCACACCTCGCACATTCACCATATTATATCAATTGCCTTTAAAGAATCGAGTATTGATAAATTTTAGGGTCTGTATTATCCTGACTTATTATGGCTTATTGGAACATCATTATTCAAAATTATCTGTCCATGGTAAATTATTATATTATCTGTCCATTAATAAAAAAAACAGATAAAGTTCAGATTCAAAATTAGGATGGCATAAGGTACTATTTGTCATAATATGACCAAGAAACGTTTTTTTTTGGTGGCCCTTGAAATAATAAAGAAAACCAAAAGAGACATTTATAGCCATTCTACTGAACCAAATATTACCTAAGAGATAAGGTAATTATCACATGTCAATTGAATAATAATACCCTTGCCTCAGTTTCCTCACATTGAACGCGAACCCACCCAGCTCAGGCTCGAAGAAAATTCTTATAAAAAAGGGAGACTGGATATTACTCAACATTTGAGTGCAATTCAGGAATGGGTGGATTGATACTATAGACAACTATCGGCTGAGGATAAGAAAATACAAAAAATGGCTGGCAAGGCATTGAATAATGGCTGTTGCTGTTGGTAGATCTATAACGTTGGGAATTTCTGGAAACAGAAATACTGTATCTCGTTCGAGTTTTGTCAAGAATTGAAGATCAGTTCATTTCAAAATATAGTATAAACTCTAAGATTTTAAATTAAGTATTAAGGCATATCATCAGTTCAATGCAAAAAGTCATTACGTGACATTTCGTAACCTCAAATAATTAAGATTTTTGATTGTGGGTTCATGGTTGGGGTGATCAGCCAAATTAAAATGGTAAAAATAAATAATTTTATTTATTTTTACATTCGCCGATGTATCGGCCCAAAGTTCAGGCTTTCATCAGGGCTGTTGTACAAGAAGCAAAGAAACGCTGTCATCAAAAATATTAATCAGCAGTGGCCAATATTTCCTTTTAGAAAAATACTGAAATTCTTTTACTGCTATTTTTCAAAACTGACAAAAAAAAAAAAAATTCGATTTGCATATGAATAGTAGGCGCCTGTCTTTGCTTCTTGTACAGCAGCCCTGATGAAGGACTGAACTTCGGGCCGTACGAACATCAGCGAATATAAAAATAAATAAAATTGTTAATTTTTACTCTTTTAATTTGACTGATCACCCCAACCCTCCTTTTCTTCCATTAAGATTTTTAGTGAATTTTTCCTATGAGAAATCAGAAAATTGTGCACTTATAACTATATACGATAAATAAGGACAAAATTCATAAAAACATATTAAGGTTAACCTATATTAAAAATGCACTTAAATTTTTGCAATAAACCGACGATATAACTTAATCATAAAATTCCTAGGTAAAAACTTGGATATTCAATTTTACTTTTTGACAAAGTTTTGATTTTTTCTTTTTAATTAAATAAATATAATTTTTTATAATCAATTATACAATCCTAGCTTTTTTATTTATTACCTTCTGTTATATAAGTTTAAATATATATAATAGAAATAAAAATATTATTCAGCAGTGGCCAATATTTCCTTTTAGAAAATTCTTTTACTGCAATTTTTTAAAAAACTGACAATCATTTTATTCCTTGCGAAAAATTAAAATGTAAAAACAAAAACAAAAAAAATTAAAATTCGATTTGCATATGAATTTGGCCTGTAAAAGATTAAACCAATCTCTTGCTTGCTTATTTTGTAAGAAAACAAAAGATTAATTTTGGTATCAGGTAGAAAATCTAAGCTTCAGACAACACGATAATTAAAATATCAAAACATACTCGCTTGGTCTCCGAACTAGTCCTTTCCAATAGTTCTCCTATAATGAGGTCATGTAGTTTGCTCAATTCGTAATCATCCAGTATTAAATTGCTATTAGGGCTGTTACTAGTTGAACTAGAACACCTTGAGGTAGAAAATTTATTCCTTATGATATTGGCCGCAGTATCATACAGGCTGCTATTGAGGCTCTCGTCAGATTCACCTTCAAACCATACAATCCTCTCTCTCAGGTCAATCCCATTCCAGTTTAACTCCAGAGTGAACTACAAATAGATAAGAGGAATAAAAAAGTATACTTTTAAAATTTTCAACATGAATCAAATGAACGATTAAATAAATTATTGCAGATAATTTCTATTTACTAGCTACCTTTTAACTTCATCATTCATTTTAATTACTTTTTTTTCAGTATAACTGTCTCCAGAGATTATAAGATATCCTCCACAAAAAACATTAAATAATTTAATGTTGTCAGTAATACCTTTTTTTTTTTTTTCAATTTATAGTTGACATCATACCAAAACCTACCTCATGAGATGCCACAAAATGTATTAAAAATTAAGAACAGATCACACAAGTCTATGTCATATATTATCCCATTGACTTCATGTTAGGTTAGGACTCTCCCATTCTGGTGGCTAGCTCAAGACAGCTGTCAAGAGGTGGCAAAAAAGAATAGGCCATAACGGCACACATCTAGTAGCAATCCTCATCCCTTAGGCTCACACCAAACCAAGAAATAGCTTCGTCAATTTTTGCAGCCAAGAATCTCGTACAACTAGACCTCTGAACGGCAAGATTTATAAAAATATTTTTATATTATTTCATTTTTACAACATTCTATCATAGCTGAAGTTATTATTTAATAATATTAATATTTATTATGAAATTTGTGTAAATGACAAGGAATGTTTGAGAATAGAATTTAAAAACGTAACGAACACAAACGAGTTTTTTTTTTAATTTTTAAATTTTATGGATCCAAATTGCTGATAATAAACAGTAGTGATACAAGCTTTAAAAAAAAAAAAAAAAATAAGGATATTATCCTACCTTTGGGGTAAAAAAAGATAAACAAGCATAACGAAAACGAGTAATTGTATTTTTAGGGGCACAATTAAATTATTTTTGGCTGTAGTAGTATTAAGATATAAGTTTTGGTAACAACTAAATCATTTATATGATTGATTTAAAAATAAATAAATAAATAATAGGTAAAAACAAAACCTGAAATCTCTCAACAATATTGTCAATTTGGGCTCAATTTGCAAATTCTTCTATAAATCATTAAACAATTAATATACACTAGTAGGCCCGTGCGAAACATTCGCACAGCATATTGTTATCAAATAACAAATTAATAATAAAATAAAATAATGCAACATATCAAAAGATTAAGTAATCAATTGTTACTTTATCGATAAATATAATCGACAAAGGAAACAAAATTAATTTAAATCTTCATTATTGTTTGGAACCAATATGTTCAGAAATTTCAGTAAGCTGTATCTTTGTTAAAAATAGTCCAATTTCGATGATTTTTTTTTTCGTAGGGAAAAAGTGTGTAATTTTTTAGTTATTTGCAAATAAAGTTTCTATTCTTTCATAACTTGTTTGCCTGGATCTTCGGGGTGATTGGACTATTTTGCCCGCCTGAAGGAGAAGGAAGCCTTCGAAATTGGTGGCTCAACCTTGAGATTTGGTGAAGAATTAACGATGATATGGCTTGCCGATCAAAAACACCATCGATAAATAATATAAACTTCTCCTGTCTCGATCATAGAGACCTTAAGTCGACGAAATGAAACATGTATCCAATGACAGTACTACAATTAATGTAAGGTTGTCTGGATGCGAACCCCATGTTATCTCGAAAATAGTACTTTTTTGGGCTTAATAATGCAGAATCCGATAGTTCCGGAGGAACGATCCGGGTCTTGCTGTACGCATCAAAATCTTCAAGGTCCAATTTGTCCCGCATCGATCTACAGACCTACCACTGTTCCAGTATTGAAGCCTAGCAAAATGTTTGTATCGACTTTATTTATTTTAGAAAGAAAAACAAAAGTGGAGAATACAATTCGCTAACCCCCCGTGAAATTTTGAATCCACAGTACCCCATTCATGGTATTTGAGCATAACAGGAGCTTATATTTGGTATAAAACTGATTTCAAGCTTTACTGTAATAATATATGTGAGGATATCACATTATTTTAAAGATTTCAATACAAATTTTAATATATACATTATAGATTTTATTTATCTTTTTTTTATAGTTATCAAATCACACAATTTAGAAGAATTTTCTGCTCAGGCACTGTGGGGAATTCACTTTCGTAAAATTTATCAAATTTCTTATTGATGTGCTTTACATGTTGTTATTTCTTTTTAATACAGAAAGTTTCTTGGCTCATTAAATATGGACCATAATATGTAGATATTCTCCAAATATCCAAAATAAAAGCTACTTCACAACCTTTTTTCAAATAACCTGCTGAAAAATGTTATTTAAGGAAAAAAAAAAGAAGTAAATACATAAAAATCCTATGAATAATATTATTTTCTTATCAATAAATAAATTTAGCAGAGAGGTATCTTCCCTGTTATGTTTGGAGAAGGATCAGGGCCAGCATGACAATGAGATCAGAAGAAGGATCGTGGGATTAAGGTTAGTGTATGAAATTTCCTGACTGTTCCAGGTATACATAATAATCTGACATTTCTAGGTTTAAAAAATATCCTGACTTTTTAGGTTCCTCTCACCAAAACAAGTTTATTTTCAAATATTTTATTTATAATTTCAAATAATTACAAAAACAAACATATAATGAAAAAAAAAAACTTACAAGTATAGGAGGATTGTCATAATACTTATTTCCCCAGAAATGTTTAGCTCCACAGCCACAACGTGTCTTCGAAGGATCAGAAACAGGAATAAGAGTTCGATCTCCATTTTCATAAATAACAGAGCCATCATCTTTAACTTTTCTCAAAGAGCATCTTCATGAAACAACCAATAACTATTTACAAATTATTTTCATGATTAGTGAAGTTAAAATCATGAAATTTAATCAGGAGAGTTTAAATAATTAAAAGAAAAATTTAAAATATAATTACAAGAAATGAAAATCAACAATTAATTGAAAAAATTAAGGGTAGATTCTTTCTTATTGCACTGTTGTTTATTATAATTGACTCTTAATTAATGGTGACAAAAAATAAATAAATAATGCTTACTCTTGACAGAAGGGGCACACTGAATTTGAGTCGATTTTGTGAACAACCAATAAATCCAACTGTGAATTATACTTGAAACTGAAACACTTAAATCAAACAAATCAATTTTAAAAATGTACCTAGTAAACTTCATTAATAATTATTACATCAATAAACATTAAATAAAGATGACCATCGAGAGAACCAAAATTATAAACAGTGCAATTAATCATAAAAGATAAGAAATAAAATCATTTATATAGGTCTATGGAAGTTATATTTAATATATTCTCATCAAAAATAAACGAAGTCTTTACCATAGATAGGCATATTTATTTTCAAAAATATAAATATGAATATATTTATATTCATAAAAAGAAACACGAATTCAGATAATACTTATTTACACCTGTAATATAAATACGGCAGTATTTACGTTTATTAAAATGAATATGCTTAAATTTACAGAAGTGAATGGAAATATATTCACACAACCTTATGAATGAAAGTTCTGGAAAGTAAAGGGTATAAAAAATAAATCTCTTAACAAATGTTAAAAAGTTGATATTTGCTAACTCGAAATGAAGTATACATAAACATTTAATTTTATTAAACATAAAATTATAATTATGATTATGTTAAGATTATTTGAATTGATCTAATCAGAACAGAGGGACAATAGCATTTATAATAAAGTTTAAAACAAATTTGTCTGCTTGGGATTGAAAGCTTAGTGATGAGGCAACTTTTCGTGAACGTATTTGACTGACCTGACAAGGATTAGAAATGGCGTACTGATCTCGTTTCGAGACAAGAATTTCTGAGGTATGATGTCACTTTAAATGTGTTATTAGGTTTAAATTATTTAAAATATTAGCTTTTATTATTTTTTGTTAGCTTGAAACATTGGGGGAACATTTTGAACATAAAACGCGAACCGAATTAAATTTAAGTATTTCTTGTGAAATCACTTATATCATTACTTAATGGTTTAAAGAAAGTCCCATTCAACGCGACTCGTACAGAGAACCTTAGTTTTCTTAAAGAGCCGATGGTGTCTTTAAAATACTCACTAAAATAAAAATCGTAATCATCCAGACTACAAGAGCCTGCTAAAAAAACACACTCAGTTTTGCTATCAATTTCATGCATGGTTCTAAATGCAAAAGTTAACACATATAGTCACACTTTTACTTTATTACTTTACTGAATGGCAGGTCAGGAAAAGTCACTATCCAAATTTGACTATCCTTGCTCCATCCCTAGCTTAATTCTGCCGTGTACCTGTATTCCACTCTGGAATTTCCAGGATATTGTTCCGATTGTTGTGCCTACCCTGACCTTCTATTAAAGTTATCTTTATTGCCACCAGCAACCCATAAGTAAACAGTGTACCGAAAAGACCATAGACGCAGATTTTCCATTCTGTTAGGGGGAAGGGAGGGACGATGGATACCTCCCAAAAAGAAAGGTTCCATGAATTTATATTACATATAAAAATCACGAGTGATAATTAACATAACAAAATACATAGTAACATAATTAAAATAACATCTAGTAAAACGAAGAATATAATACTATATATAAAAATAAAATGAAACATAAATATATATATATTATATTATAAGGATAAATATATATATTATTTTGTGTGTATGGTTGTATTTGAAAATGCATTAACAAATCAATTGAATATGTTACATAGTTTTATTTGTATTTAAAGTTTTGATCCAGTGAGATGAACTCCACTTCATAATTGCTGTCGGAAAAGTAAGAAAATCTTAGGATATGTTCCTTCATATAATTATCTTTGAATATTAACTAAAATTTCTATAATAGGAATATAGAGCATGGTAAAATACTTATGTATGAATATCTAGGCATTAACTTAGCCATATAGTCGACTTTTCCAATTTCCTTAATTGATTTTAGTTTACATAATTAGGACCCTCCTAAGATTATTAGATAAACTATATTTTAATTTTTTAAAACATCAATAAATTTATATACATTTTTTTTCCAAGTTACCTATCATTAAAAGGTTTCAAATAAAAAATTTTTTTTTTAGATTATTATAAATTATATATTTTTTTCTCAAATCTTTTTCTGATTTTGATATTCTTATTTCATAATAAATTTTCTGAAGTACTACTTACTTTTTAATTACTTTGAATATGTTAAAATTAATTAAATAAAGAACTATTTGAAGAAAGGTTCTTATGTACACCCATAACCTTTTTAGTGAAAGGGACACTAAGTTTTGACAATTTTAAATATTGACCACAAAGCAACGCAATAATTAACAATAGCACTGAAATTCATACTTACAGAAGAAATGTAGAGGTTATTTCTGAAAGCATACTCTAATCCATCAGTGAGGAAACCATGCGTTTTGGATGCCGCCTGGTAGAGAACACCGCCATTTCTAAGCCATTGCCCCCTAATCGGAAGCAGGCTGAGAGCTGCACAATAGAGGCAACGCACGACCCGGCCCTCTTGGAAAGCAGCTACGCAAGCAGGGATCACTTCCTCAAGTTTATCGTACCACGGAGCTGTCTCGCCCGCTCGAGCCTACCATCAGTCATCACATCAATCTTCGCATCCCTGGGCTAACTACAACCACAATCATTCACAGGACTTAAGTAAAAGTCCATGAGAATAAATTGCTAGCTACATAATTGTAAATATATATCTCACTTGATTCTTCAGTATATATCAACAACTTCTAATATTGTACAAAATCCATGGATAAATCGAGGAGACAAAAAAATATCAAGTTCATATATTTGACAAAAAAAGAAACATAGGTCATGAGTACCTATTCTCGAAAACATTTTTATTGGATAATCACAAATAGCAAAGGCTCAACTGAAAATTATTGATGAATGGAACAAATGAAGACCTCAAGAGATTAACAATTTTATTAAAATTATATTATAAATTATATTTTTTAAAATAAATTTCTTTAATATAATGACTGTACTTAATGACTGATAAAATTCTTTTAGATTTTAAATCCGGTATATATTATCATGAAATAAAAAACAGAGGTAGAGATAAAAATAGACCAGAACATTAAAATGTTCCTTCAAGGAAAGGGACTGAAGAAATCTAATGCAATCCCATAGTACAAAAAAACAAATCACATAGCTTGTTTAGGAAATGAATAAATCCTAAGGGTTTAAAAAGAAGTTGGATTTCTTTGGATTTAATAAACTGAGGCAATTCAAGCTTTATATCCATCTGACAGATTATATAACAAGAAAATTTCATTTACAATTTGAAAACAAATAAAGTCGGAAGAATAACTAAATTTCTTCATAGTCCAAGTAGGCATGTTGAGGACAAACAACAGCCTATCAATTAGTCATGTAAAATACTTAAAAAAGTAAGAATCCAATAACCTTAAAGTTTTAGGATTTCTGGGATATGGGTAGTCAAAAGATCATATCACATTCTTCTAGTACTAATAATTGTAAAAATTATCTATACCAATCTTGCTTAACAGCAGGAACATATTACTGAGTGATTTCAATATAAACTTTTTGATAATAACGAAAACCTGGTAATTGATAAACTAGTTTATACTTCAAATAAAAATGTAAATTAGTATTTACTAACAAACTTACCATTACCTTTTCTTAATACGAAATCCATTCAAAGTCCTACAACCTTAATTTCTGTTCGAAATCATGACGTTTTTTATGATATAATGAATTAAATTATACATCTTTAAGAATAAAAATTAGCCTTTCATTTTGAAAATCATTGTAAAAAAAAAATTACATATATAATTATGCACAGCAATATGCCTTTTACTTAATTTGGAAATGAAAAGAAGGTGGTTAAATGTATAGAAATACCAATCATCAAACAGCGAACCGTTATTTATACCTTTCCTCGAAACTCAAACTGGTACAAATCAGCAATGAGCTGAGGTGATACACCATTTTTTAAGCAGAATAACTCATCCATGGCACTCGTTAATTTCAATATATAAGGCTGTGGAAGACGACCTTCACCTCCTGGGAAAAAAAATACAATTAATAAACATTGTCGATGATAAAAAAAAACCCCTAAATACACCAAAACAATGTTTGGAAATAAATGTATCTCTTCTTTCAAGCAAATAAAAAATAATATATACTAGTTGATTTAGAAACTTAATAAAATAATAACTTAAGATAGTGGAAAGTCTTTTAATAAGTTTCTTCAATACGGATTCTTACTCTATAAAGTTGTACACAAGTTATTTATATTGAATCCTCACAACCTTTCTAGAAAATAATACTGTTCGTCTTAATTAATCAGTATCTTGATGAGACTCAACAACTTCTCAAGATATGTCCTTACGTTTAAATTAGAAGTGCTCATCACTAAATTACAGAGGTGTTCATCAATATGAAGAAAAAGATAAAAACTAAATTTAATAAACATAAAAGTGAATTATAGTCAGAAGAAATTGAAACTTTTAAGTGAAAAACATAACTAATAATTACCTAAAGTAAAACAATTTTGTTCATCAAAATGTATGTAAGTATCCGTGAGTGATTGAGGAAAGCCCCAAACTTCAGGCAAGAAGCTCCGGTGTATCCTGGGTAGTTGATTATCTGAAATTAATTTTAATATATAATTTATTTAAACAAGTGTAAGTTAGGCAGGTTTAAAATTTGCTATCTGCAAAGTTTTTGTAATAAGCAAATATTGTAATATTTGTAATAAGCAAGCTTTACAGGTTTGTGGTGAAAATAAATTCTTGGGCTCATGGAATATTAGTTGGATAGAGGATTGCTTACCTTGGAAAGCAATCCTCTATCCAACTAATATCTTCAACTCCATTCTTAGAATAACATATTTCACAGCTGTGTGGAAATATTCTGAAGTTGTTATGATATTAAAAGCCAATAAACCAATAGATTGCCTAAATTCCTATCGCTCTGTTGGCCTTCTTTCTTCCTTTTCCAAATTATTCAAAAAAAATCTTCTTCACCGTATTGTTCTCAATCTTAAATCATCAGTTTGGCTTCAGTAAACATCATTCGACCATACAACAATGCCATCAATTAATAGATTACATTTTCAGTGCTTTATAATAAAAAAATTATTGTCCTGGCATTTTCCTTGAAATCAGACAAGCTTTTGATAAGGTATGGCATTATATTTTCAAAACAAATAGAACACGGTACAGACCTCTTTTTATCGAATTATTAACATCTGCCTTAAAATTCATAGATATCTTCATCTTATCATAACCTACAACTATTTACGAAAATTCTCAGAATTGGGGCATTTTGAATCTAGAGATCGACAAACTTTGTCTTTTAATTAGGGACTAAAAAATCATAAATACCCATTTGCTTTCCACTTCAATCGTAAGATAATTTGAGCACAAAATCAATAAAAGATGTGGCCTTCAAAAATATTGAGCTGTTTGGTACGACCTACACCTCCAAAATATCAAAATAATGAGGTTATATAGGCCGAATGGCCCAATATTTTTGTAGGCCACCTTTTTTTTTTTTTTTTTTTTTTTTGTGACCAAATTATCTTGCAATCCAAGTGGAAAGCAAATGGGTATTACGAGTTTTTAGTATCTAATTTAATAGACAAAATTTGCCAATCTCCATACTGAAAACGCTCCAAATCCAAGAATCTTTGTAAATATAATAGTTGTAGGTTACGATGAGATGAAGATATTCACGAAGTTTCAGGCGGATGTTCATAATTTGATAAAAAATGGGTCTGTACCACGGACTAAAACATATTTTCTTGTTTATTAAGTATTTCTTTGCATAAAATAATTAGTAGTTTAATAATTTCGAATAATATTAAAATTTTAAGAAATAGTATCTAAATCTGCCTCTGTATGACCTCAAACATTATTACTCCATGATACAAACATTTTTTTCCCCAAATCATTAGCACTAGTCTAAAACTTTACAAATTATTTCATTTTAATGTAACCTATTATTTTAAATAACATATATCATTGGTTTATTGCAAAAAGGCATTAAGTGGCATTTTATAATCAAGAAAAAAAATCATAATCTTAAATCACTAAGAAGTTAATGAATTTTCCTTTTGTAAAATCAGAAAATTGTGTGCTTGATATAACTGTATATGATATATAAAACAGTTTGTTTCATTTTAGTTCGCTTACTGTGTTTGATAAATATGGTCAAAATTCACAAAAGCATTCTTAAAAGTTCAGCTCCATCAAAAATGTACTTAAGAGGCTTTTATCAATAAATTGACGATATATAGATTAGAGACATTAAACAAATCTAGTTTTGTAAAAAAAATTACCATTTTTAATAGGCACAACAGGAACATAATGGTTTCTAGCTGAGGACGACCAAGCCAATAGTAAAGGTGTATTCAGGCGTCCTGACTTATCTCGACATGCCATTGGTGGGTTTAATCCAGGTAGGAAAATTGCTGAAAAAATTTAAATAGATAGATATTAATTTTTCTAAAATCATAAAAGCTTATCTTAGATATGTTTATATTTATTGGTGATAGAGTATAAGAAAATGATTGCTCAGTAGTAATTTTAAACATTATGATTGGAAATTATTTTTTCAGTCGGCCCAAAGAAATTTACTGTAAATTTGCCATCTCAGTGATTTTTATGTTGTAGTAATACTTATTATGTGGTTGTTATGTATTGGAGGCTATCATACAAAATGATATGTCTCCTTGTTATAAAGTATATAATTTTTAATTAGTTTCAAGTGTGGTTATCATTAGGTCATTTTTTATCCTCTGCAGATTAGTATTTTAATAATAAATCTTAGTAACTCAAGTAGTAATAATTGTTATACTGATGGGTCACTTATGACAAGCAGATCTGGTGCTGGCTTTTGGAGAAAGATTGAACCAGTGGAAGGCATGTCAATACCACTTGGCAATTATGCAATGGTATTCCAATCTGAAATACGGACGATAACTCACTGCGCCTCAAAAATGTTGCTTGACGGGCTAGTGGGGAGGAAAATTTCCATATATACTGACAGCCAAGCGGCTACATGAGCAGAGGACAACAATACAACTAGATCTAAGGCTGTTGAGGATTGTGGTAGAATTCTAAATGGCTTATCCAGATAGGTAAACATTGAATGGGTTCCGAATCACTCTGGAATTCATGGTAATGAGATGGCGGATGAACCAGCCTGACTAGGCTCACAAAAGATTCCCATAGCTCCTGAATCGATCTGTCGAGGATTAGTCAGTGTCTAATAAATAACAGAATTGGGGAGATTTATGGTGCTGAATCTAAAAGGAACTGATGCTTGAAAAAACACTCACTCCAGATTGTTCCTGGAAGGAATCTGTCAGAAAAGAAGCAACCTACTAATTAATTTAAGCAGAGGCTAACTTAAGAAAATTACAGCGGTATATACTAGACACTGTAAACTGAATTATCATATGTTCAATTTCCGGCTCATGATGTCGTCTCTTTGTAAATTCTGTGGCCAGGAGGACGAAACAGCTTATCCTATCACTTGTTGGTGGGACAGGTTTGCTGGACAACGATTCCAACTATTTGGCATTGATACCGTGATTGATCCCAAGGCAAATGAGCTCATCAACCCAACAAGCTTACAACCCTTCACTGAGATTGCAGGAGTGAAAAAACCTAAAGGATTTTTTGATTCTGAAATCAGTATTGCTTTGATGGAATTTAGAGGAAATCTATGATTTTTTTAATTCTTTTACATTTAAATTTATTAGCTTAAGTTCGTTTTTTAAACATTTGGGTTGCTATTAGTTTTAGCATTGAAATATAACTTTCTATTAACATGTCACTTCATAAACAGAGATTATAAAATAAGTATTGAACCATAATAAAGTCTGCTTGTTGACAGCACACCACCCTCTCACCCCTGGCAAACTATCTCTTCAATTGAAATATAACTTCAGTTAAAAAGTAATCTCAAATCTAAAATGAGCAAGAGTGTTAAGACCATTAAATAATCGATGATATACTTCAATAAACTTCCATTTGAAGTAGTTTAATTTTAATTATAAGAAAAAAAGTAAAAAAACTACAATATTAATGAATATTTTAAATTAGCAATACCCGCATAATCTGCAGAGGCTTTCATTCCTTGTAAACAATCAATTAGAATAATCGGTCGCCGGAGTAAATTAGCGAGGCCAAAAACATGTATATTCCTAAGTCCAACCATACTTCCATCAGGAGGAGAATACGTGGGATCACATTCTTCTATAATATTTCCCCATTCCTGATTACTGATCCAACTGCCTAAGACAGACTGTCAACAAAAATTTTAAGAAATCAAATATTTTTTTTTTTAAACTACATAAATTACATTAATCAATTAATAAAATATATTTAAAACACATGAATCGGAAGTTATCTTATTCTCAAGAAAAGAACTATAAAACTGTGTAAAAGATAAGATGAGTTTACTTGCCATATTTACTTCATAATAATTATAAATCAATGCTATGAAATAAACAAATAATTTACCTTGTATTTTTCAAGATTAGTATTAAAATGCTGTTTGAGCCCCACTCGGAGGGGATGCCAGAAAAGTTCCCTGCCCATCACTGCACGTGAAATAGCATGTACCAGGCAATGACCATCTCCATCAACATGAAGGGCAACTAAGTTATTTCTAAAAATATTTTTAAAAAATTAAAGTTTTTTCACTATTGTGTTCTTTATCTCAATAAAATTATTTACAGACTTAAAAAGTTTATACCTATTATTATTTGCAATGGGATGATGTACTAATCAACTAAAACTATTATTATAAGAATATGAGAATGATAACTATAGTTCCATGATATCGATGGCTATAAGTACAACCAATATATGTCCAAAACACCTGTTTTTTCAGTACGGCCTAAGAAGCTAGAAAGCTCCAAATTCTTGCAATAGATAAAATAATGTAAATCTAATTATTTAGTTCATTTCAAGTTTATGTATTTGTGTCTATTTTTTTAAAGATTAGTTCTGTTTTTTATATCTTTTGTCCTAATATATAGAATTGAAATTGTGGAGGATTAAAAACTTTTATTAAATTACTAATAACTTCATGCTACTAAGAGACTACTTCAGGCTAAATAAATTAAATCAGTTTCATAATGAGTGGACATGTGATGATTGCACTTTTACCCATCAATATATTTAGTTTCTTATCATACCATAAAGCCAATTATAATGTCTGGTAACATTATAAACATGAACAGTTTAATCGAAATGGTCCTCTTTAGTAGGAAAGCAGTCCGAAATAAATTTGTTAGCTGGGTATTTTTCTATAAGCTAATTTATTTTGAAACTAAGCAAAACTCACAATAAAATATAGCTTTCATGATGATATCTTTCTGTCACCCCGTATGAAATGATATTTTTCTGTGAGCATCACTCTTGTTTTTGTTTTTTTTATAGATTGATTCTCATTTAAAGTTGCGAATCATTTTGTCCAGACCAATTTGCTAACTATTAGACATATGATAGATAGGGATTTTTTGGAAAATTATGGTTCTAGAATCTTTATTAAGACAAGGAGAGCTAAATCTGATGTTTATGTAATCTTTATTTATGTATTGTTCTCTAATTCTCAAACTCAATGCATGTAGGTTGTTATAAAATTTAAAAGTATAAATTCAAAATATTATTGGATCTTGAATAGATACAGAATATACTTCATGGCACAGCAATTCAACCTGGTACTTGTCGGACAAGGTACTATTTTGCTGACGCGGCCCACGACAGCGACCGCAATACCACACTGCCGTTGTTGCATAGCTATTTTGCTGAAACTGCTCACTGGGGTTGTTATAACTTGCTAATAACCTTCGAACATTTCGCTTTATCTTCGAAGATAAAAAAATGGACATCTTATCTCTGACTACCACTTTTTTATTTGAGAAGGAAGAAGAGGAAATGTTCATAAGGAGAAGGAATATCAGCATTTCAACGTATTTCGCTCATCATCCAATCATCAAATCCCTTCTTGGACAATGTTTGCTACTGTCTAGATGAACAACCAAAAAAGAATAAAAAGGCAGGAAATGCTGCACTAACGACAATAATCCCTCTGACATTAGATATTATTTGTTTGAAAAGTAATAGTAATTATTACATAATTGAATAGTAATAAATATCATATATTTGTAATTAAATCACAGCAGGCGATGTTTTATTGTTAGTAATCAGTAAATCACCACTTTAATTAAAAAATACAAATAGATTTTTCAAAGGGTGGATTTTAGTACTTACCCAGCGTAAAATTTGATGGATTCTTGGATTTATTTAATATCATTGGGATTTAGGTATATTTGCATTTTGCTGTAAAATATTGTTGGTAGAATAAATAAATAAATAATCTTGTTACTTCAACCTTAAAAAAATAATTTACTATTGCATTGTTTAAGTTTTAAACAATATTTCTTATAATTTTACCAGATTTGAAAGAAACATATAAGTTCCTTTCTATTCGACTAAAGCAGTGGTCAACCACAAGCGGTCGGGGTCGTGGGCAGCGCCAGCGAAATAGAACCTTTAGCTGGACAGAACGTCAGCAGTCGTGCTATCTGCCAATGTTTATAACCTGAACACTGATAATTCTGATAAGGCTTCTCATAATTCCTATCCTCGTATTCATATTTATTGTATTGTATTCATATTATTGAAATTGTAAACAAAAACAAAAGGGAATATTCATATATAATATTATCAACAATAAACAATGAATATCATCAACAAATGGATAATATTCATATTATTGAAATGGTAAACAAAAACAAATGTAATAATAACAAAACAGTTTGGTTTGAAATTGAAATAGACAAAAAGAAATGTAATAATTCCCACAACAATAAGAAAACACTTTAATTTTACAACACATATATGAAATAGACAAAAATAAATGTAATAATAAAAAAACACTTAAACAACATATGTTCATGTTAAAGAAACAATATAAACAACAATTTATTTTCACTTCACCTTATTTATTTTGGAAGGAAAAATAGTTTCGTAACAAAAATAAACAATGGAATAACTCAAAGCTTTCAGGAGATAAGAAGGGAGTTTATGTGATCTAACATTAGATAACAAACGGAGGTTTCATCCAGTCCTCCTAAGGGACAAGAACCCTCAACCTTATTGTGAGATGGTCACATTCGAGTTTGCATAAAACTGTGAGACGAAAATTGGATAAAAAATATTGTGTTCTTTATTTTAACACATATATTGTAACATATCTTTACTATAAAATAATATATTCACTATGAAAGTCAAATTAATATTAAACATTAAAGATAGTAGCACAGAGATCACCTGAAGGCCGGTTTTTCTTGACACCAGGAACAAGCCTGGTTCAGAGTTTCCTTGGCCAATTGTAAATAGTAAAGCAAATAACCAATTGTATTTATTAATTTTATTTTATTTAGTTATATTTCCTGTAAACATGGCGTGAATGAACACTTTCCTCGCTATAAACATTATTCATATTGTGACAGAATGTAATATTAATCAACAAAATAGTTTAGAAGAAATCATTTAAGAGTAAATTAACAAGATTATAAGAACAATAATATAAAATATTGATCCTATTGGTCTTTTACGAGAGAGGTTTGGTAAAGTATATAAAAAATAAACTCAAACTTTAAATAAAAAACAAAACAGTAAGAACGTCAAGAGTTTACAATAACATGGGTCAGTTTCATCGAACATCCTACTAGCAATATTTTAAAAATTAACTATTTTTTTTTTACTGAATTATAAATTAAATAAATAAAATTATTTTAATTTATCATCTATTTTTTATTTTATTTTTTATAGTGCATTTTTCCCGTAGGCATAAAGTTGAGAAACTCTGCTTTAAGGGAATAAAAAATAATGACTATTCCTTAAAGAAAGAAACATTATCATTTATAGATCTTGGAGTAACATGAGCCAGATTATGCCTTGTTATTATTATTATTGTATTAAGTAGAATATATCCATTTTTAAATAATGTAGTAATTTTCAAATTACCCATTGTGATAATTGAATTGAACTTTTCTTTAAATTTAGTATTATTATAGTTCTTCCTCATTTTTAGGAGTTAAGAAAATTATATTGTAGCTAGTTTTCATAATGAAATATCATTATAATCTCTCACACATTTGATTTTAAAAATTGTTTGATGTAACCATAAATAAAAAATAAAAAAAATGCCTGAACTAAATTTAACTCATTCAGAAATGAAACTGAATTTAATTTTCACTACAGACATAAAAGCACCAGTAGCTGAATTCAATCTTCACTACAGACATAAAAGCAGCAGTTATCAGACAATTTGTATTAGCCTGAACTATAATCAAAATCAGAACAAGAAATGAAATCATTTACTAGATCCAAAACTTACTGATTATTATTGAATGGCAAAAGTGTGCTAAGAGTTTCAGCAAGATATTCATTTGCAGACCTATCTTTACCAAAACCACATATGTCAACTTGATGAGGTTCTATCATAAATGACCGATCAGAGAACACACTGCAGTCAAGGTTAGCTCTATAAACAAAGAAATTTGAGAAGTTGAATCACCTTATTATAAAATATATAAATATAATAATTAAAAATTATATAGATTTATCATTCATACCTGCCAGTTAATAACCTGAGAAGAACAGCTTTACCAGTATGTTTATCCATACCATAGGTTGATAAAAGGGGAGATATTAATTTTTCATGATAATGAGAAAGACCCATCACTTTAACCTGAAAAAGAAATATCCATATTTAAATAAAAAACAAATCTGAAGATGAAGTGTTATCAGCTTCACAATTAAATTTTAATATGTTCCCAACAGAAATTATTCAACAAAGACTCAAAAGGACCAAGATGAGTAACCGACTTATTGTAATATTTTCTCTTCCTCTTCTAATCTTACACAAATTTTAGCCCCTGATCATTCAATAAATGGGGCCAACAGGATATCCCTCTGTCATGCATTTCAATATACATATTGTATGACCTTATATTAGTTCGTTGAACTTATAGTATAGTATAAATAATAACAAAGAAAAAAAAAAAAAGAAGGGGGAAAGAAAGAAAAAAGACCAAGTATTCAAACAGTCATATTAAATCTGTCCACAAAAGTTGTCAAATGGACACCTTTTAGAAGGGAAATTATAAACAGAAATTAGTCGTATGACATGAGCATTTAAATCATGCTATTAGGTCTATTTGTATTATTAAAATTCAGATAAATGACTCAAGAACTAATCACTTGATCACAAAAAAGTAATATAAGCAATGAAAAAAAAAAGAAGAAAAATTGTAAACTTTACATTAAAAGTTTAATAAAAGTAGTAAATACTATATCTATATCATATTAATTAATAGGTAACTCTTAAGGGAAATCTACAATGGTTTTATTATGGAGTAGTGAATTATTAAAATGATGTATTAAAAATATAAATCATTATTCTTAAAATCTTAGATCCTATAAAACTATTAACAACATAGAATCAGTTGAACAATAATACACAGGATAGTTTTACAGAATCAACTGTTTTTATCATTATTAATACAATTTGTCATATTGTGCTTCTGCTGATACAAAACTTATGGTTGTGGTAAGTATTTAATAGATGGTCATGCATTGGATTAAATTTATTAAAATACATTAATAACTCTAACTTTTAAGAGGATTCAGAAAATCGAACCAGCTTTACACATACACATAAACAGAATGTGAACAAAGGCATTTTTAAAAAGTGAGTAATTATGTGAATTTTACAACAAAATCGTAGTTGGCAAAATATTACTTCCGCCAAATAATAGGGCATACAAATTAAACTCATTTTTGGCTTAGTTACAGAAACGAATTTTGAAAAAATACGATTAACAAAACAATGAAATTTAAGAAGTTTTATTTCGTAGCTATGTGAAAAAACTGAAATTGCTATATGTCCATTCAAAAAACTAAAATGGTAACAAAAATGAACTTACCAGGTCTGGTCCCTTTGGTGGATGATTAAACTTATCAACAGAACATTTCAAAAGGTGTTGGTTCTCTTCAAGGCTCAAATCGATTGGGGCACGCATAAGTAAAGATGTGGTAGGGTGAGTTTGACCACAAAAGTGACAAGTAACATAGGCCAAACATTCTGGAAAAACTAAAGTCTGTTGACAAAATTCATCTAAGCATACACCTTTCCACATTTTTCCCACCTAGTAACACAAAAAACACTTAAAAGATGAAGGAGGATGTTAATGGGATTAATAAAAAAAAAAATCAATTGGTAAAGGTTAAGCTAAGATGGTAACAAAAACTAAGAGTATTTAATGAAAAGGAAAAATCAAAAATAGTTAGACAAGGAACCATACGATAATGTAACATTACGGTACGGATGTAACCAAAAATAATTCAAAATGAGACTGAAATGACCAGACCAGACATTAATAATGATCAGACAGGAGATGTTACATCCTACAATGTAAGGAAAGATTTTGAAGAATTTATGATCGTCATGACAATTGCATTAGAATTTATATTCAAATATTTTATTTGATTAAGACCTTAGATAGAATCTTTAACTCGAAAGAACGATTGATGAAGGATTAACCCCTATTGTTTTCATAAGCAATGATTCTGATGACAGCGTAGATCAATAAAAAGAACTAACACTTGAAACAAAGCATGACCTGGAACTTCTTGTGAATGCAATAAATAAAAGTAAATTACTTTACATTTCACGAAAACTTGGTTGTTCCAAAAATAAAAAATAAACTATTTTGAAAGGAACCAACATGGGGAAACTAAACAATGTCTTAATCAGCTGTTCTTCATGGGTTAGCAACCAGTTCACTGATGACTGGATTTACTTATTCATTTAACACAAAGAGCTTATTTGTGCAAAAAGTGCAAAAATCACATCAATTAAAGTTAGTGCTAATTTAAATATTTATCCAGAATTATGATTGAGTCTAACCATATAATTTTTTTCACCTATTTAAGTAACTGTTTTAAAATTTTAAATGCCTAAGTGTCTCCAATTTTTATTGATCATGAATTAATTTACATTTCTATAAAATATTTAAACATTTCTAGGAATTTCGGATGAAGGGAAGAAATTCTGCTAAATAATAAGAGGTGAAATCAATATTGATATGCTTGAGATGCGAGTTAAAATTGGATTTAGTTCTTGAAACTTTTTTTAATTAAAACAAGATGTTTAATAATTTCTCTTCATTTCATCTGAATTTTTTCATCTGAACCTTATAGCCCAGTCAAATTAGCACAAAAAAAGGGGTTTACTTTGCAAAATTCTAGGATTTTTTTCTTTTACTCGTGAATAAATGGTTAGTTTTTTGTAGTTCAGTCCATTTTCTGACTGTTTAGTGGTAGAATAATAGGAAAACAAATGCAACAATTTTTTTTTTAATTAACTTTAACTTAGGCTCTTATATATCGCGAACGGTTGATCAGTTTTTTGAAGCAAAATGAGTGAAAATTGTTCGACTTTTTATTCGCTTTTCCTTTTGTATCGCGTGTACGGGCGAAGCGATTTTAGCTATTTACTTCCACTATTTTTTAAACTGTTTAGGATGCTAAAAGGAATACAAATGTGACAAAGCTTTTCGAATTTTACTTCCCTTTTTGTGTTATATACCGTAAACGGGTTTCGACATTTTCACAGTTCAAATTAGAGATGGGATATCCAAGGTCTAATATTGCTATTGTCATCGATATTAATATTGGCCTATAACTATCGATACCATAAAAATATCGATAGTGGACATTGCCATCGATATTATAAATAATTTTGAAATATGAATGTCAATATAAATATTGATTCTCTATAACCTAGGCGCATCAAAAAATATGTTATTATCCTCTTTGAATTAATTAATGTAAATATCAATTCTACTCGCCTTAGTAAATTTAATTTTCTAGTTCCTTTCCTTCTTCATCGTCGTAGATACTATCGATGGTAAAATACCAAATATAGAAAGGAAAATATCGATATTTCAATAATGTCGATTATTAAAGGCCATTCCTGGTTCACACTATTTGTCGACTGTTTATTATTTGTTTAGGTAGTGGAGTAGTTCAATGTTAGAGCAACGATCTTCCAATGCTCGAGGTTCGAATCCCTACTAATGGCAAAAAAGTTATTTATTCTGTTTCATCAGCCGTGGCGCGACCCTGAGATCAAGAAATTCTCCTGCGACAAACCCAGCCTCTATAATGTGGATACCCTTAATTAATAATTAATTAAGGGGGAAATTCTGGCGTATAAGAGTGATCTCAGCCGAATCACCTCCGTGCACAACCGTTGACTAAGAAACAGTACTTTCTCTAAATAGTACTTAATCCAAGACCCTTCATGGGTTGTAGTGGTACAGGTTTATTATTATGTTATATCATTATAATCTAATAGGAGAATATGTCTGAGAATTTGATTGGTTTCCAAACAGTTCGTGAAGAGCTTAGCGACTTTTCCGAGAAAATTAAATTAAACATTTGGTAGGATTTAGCTCTGTGTTAACAACATTAGTTGTTTACTAGCCTCTGGTTGTGATACTTTGATTTAAGATGGAGAAAAGTGAATGAAAAGTTGAGAACATTTCGATCAGTCGATTTCCATTTCGTCTATTTTTAAACATTCGAAAAATAATTTGAACTGTGAAAGACTGGTCATCCGTTTTTGATATATAAGTCCGCGAAATAATCATGAAGTGTGGGAATATTTCTCCAAAGATAGGGATTGAGGTCATAAACCATTTTTTTGAGACCAAATCAAATTAAATTCCTTTCTGATTGAAATTATGAAGTTACAATTCTGATAGGAGCATGGGATGAATAACACATCCATGGGAGACAATGTTAATTTTTTAAATTCAAAATAAATCTATACTGATACTACTCCATTTAAATGAATACACCAATCATTGTATATACCACTCTTTTTGAAGATGACACAAACATCATTCACAGCGTATTTTGGTTCATTAAAAAAGATTCACTGCAGTCTACTATCCTGGCATAGTTTATTTAATTTTTGTAATATTTTTAAATTACTCATAAAAAACTTAACGGGCAAAATAAACTAAAATTATGCTTTCAAAACACCTTAGTTCGTTTTTATAATTTTTACTCCCAATGCTTACCTATTTCACATATTTTTTATGTTTCATAATTTATTGAAATTATTAGAGCCGTTCTATGGCTATAGTCTATAGAAGAATCAAGTTTACCGGAAGTTGTTTAGCTGTCATCGTGCACAGCTTGCCCGATTTGATACAAAAGTGGAGTGGAGCTGATAGACCTGGAGCCAGGGCCAAAAAACCATAGTATTTTGAGCAAATTTCCAACCTAAAAGGCCGATAGTATTCCTTTTAGATATTACGAAAATGATCGTCTGCTAGCTAAAACGCTACGGATTTGTTTGGCGCTGACTCCAGGCCAATGAACAACCCGCAAAACAAAAAAGCTTTTTTTTTTTTTTTTTTTAAATTGGCCCTTTCGTTTTCTATGTATAATCTGAGCCTAGAAATTAGACAATTACAATTTTTCATTTACTTTTTAAATCTTAGGGTATGAAAAATTGAATAGATTTATCGTGTTATTACGTTCAAGTTAATTATTTATGATAATTTTTCATCAAATGATCATATTAACTTTTTTCACACGTTGACTTTTTGTCTGGTAAGAGAGTATAATTTGTTATAAAGATAATTTGTTTCGAAATTTGAAAAGGAAATGGTACCCAGATCCGACGAAAGGGGAAGAAGCATCCGTGGTTGCAGCTCCGATATCAGAGCTCCGAAGGGGGCTTGGTCTTGGGGGGGAGTTCGCGTCCCGGTACCGGGGGAACTTTTAACTGTGGCTTTAATCCTCTGCTCTCACTTTCTGACCTGAGAAAATCCCCGTACAGCCTAAAGGCTAGAAAGAGGAGAACAGAAAAAAAAAGCTTCTAGAATATCTGGTAGGCCGGTTGGCCTAGCGGACTAACGCGTGTATAAAACACTTGCTGCTCAGCAACCTGATGAAGCAAAGGTTACGAGTTTAAACCCCGGTGCAGAGTGAACTTTTATCTCTGATATTAATCTACGGAAAACCCTGTGTAGTCTAAAAGGTGAGAAAGAAAAAAAAAAGGAAAAATACACTTCGACAAATTCTTTACATCATAATTTTGTTGTACACTCTATAAAAGCCTTTAGTTGGGTTTTAGAGATAAATTTTATGTTCGTTTAATGTTCGTGTCCCGGTACCGGGGGAACTTAACTCCGGCATTAATCATTCCGCCAGGTCTGGGAAAACCCCGTATAATCTAAAAGGCGAGAAAGGGGAGTTAAAAAAAAAAATTTATAATAGATGGTACCATAACTACAAATATAATTCAAGCCATCAATCTGTCAACTGAACTGAAATAGCCATGCTTTTTGTATTCGTAGTTGAGGGTATAGATTGAAGCTTTGCAAAAACAAATTGTAGTAAAATAATTGTTTATTAGTTTACCGTAATTAAATTTGTTACAGTTATTGACAAAAAACAACAACTTCAAAATTGAAATAAAGATGATTCGAATAGTATAAAAATAGCTGTTTTGACCAGTTACCTAACATAGACACACACTTACTTTTGGTCTATCTGAAATATAAAAATATTTTGAAAATCGGATACCGGACATTTGAGCTGATTAAAGTAAAATAAAAATAAAACAAGGATGGATGAGTGATAGTGGAGAATTGAAAATTCAAATATTAAACTATAGACATATTTGTTTCTTTAGATATTTTAAAAATAAATTTAAAAACGTATGTTGAAATATCAGTGTAAGGTGGCGAGTGGATTTTTCTACCACCCTAAACGTACAATCCAGCGTTTTATATAAAAATAATGATGGCTTACAAAAAAATATGGCCAGGATCAATATTACTGCTGTCAATAAAAAGTCTTGTATATCCTCGTGCCCATCTTCTGAGAAAAAATAAAATAATGTATACTCAATATATTTTTTTTTCAGTAAAACTGGATCTGAATTTAGCTGTACGAGTTAATTATTCAAGAAAATATCCAAATGAGAACAATACAGAACAAAGAGCATTCTTTGCGAGAATAACAATGTAAAAATTCAAGTCTTGCATCATTGGAACCGTGCTTCGGAAAAGGTTCGCGGTAGATATTTAATCTAAATGCGGACGATGATCGTATGCTCGATATTGTAAGGTTTATTATGAAATATTGCATAAATGTTAGAGTAAGTTATTCATGTAAAACTACAACATATCTGGCCCTTAAGTGTAATGCACAATGTTTCATTGCTTAAGGGATTTATATTTTTTTATTATTATATAAACAAATATTTTATGTTTCCTTTTTATTTATAAACATTATGTTTTTTATAATGAATTACTTTAATAAAAAGTATTTCAATTCCCTTTTAAATCATACCGTAGTAGGGCGACTGTAAACTGTTGTGCGGGTTGCCTATCTGCAGGGTTGGTATCACTCCAGACAAAGGAAGAAGGGTGATATGCTCCTTCCATACAATTTCCAGCTCTCTGACTCCAGCCTCTGGAAACTGGGGCTGGAAATATGAAAGTATAGAGGGGTGGGGAGGGGCTAAAAAGATTTCAAGAGTCTATGCCTCGTAAAAAGGTCTTTTCTCCTAAAGGTCTACTTTAGCTCGAAAGACTTGTCGAGACTACTATTTTTGCGGAAGGATTGGATTTAATATTTGAAAATTGTAACAATTTATCACGTCTTAAATTTAGAATATTTGGAGAACATGTACATCACATTGATTCACCTCTTGATTTCAATAAAATAATAACTTACCATATCTAAATGAATACTGAAACAAAGTAAAATATTAAGTACGCCATATGAGAGGTTCTTTCTGATGAAGATGGTAATGGTTTGAGTATAAACCGTTAATATCCAAAACGAGTCGTTTGACTCGTGAAATGAATTGGGTCAATGATGAACATGTTTTGAATATAACAAAATGTAAAAATAGTAAAAAACATAAAATAATACTATAAATAGATTTTTTTTAATTAATCAAAATGAAAACTTCCTTATATTTTTAAAAAGGTATATACGTGACAGATTTTAGTTGTTGCTCGTTCATAGTTGGTGGATATTGGAAGGCCGCATTCGGTATCGACTATGTAGGAAATATTCTCCGAACCAAAACTGCCTTTGAAGATCCAAATAAAAATATTATATACAGTAGTGTTTTAAATTGTAGAAACTTTTGATTAAATACATGTTTGATAAGAGTTTATCAAATTAAAAAAAAAACAACAATCTTCTCATAATTAGATGCCACCACATACTTTTAGTGACTGGATTACATGTTGGAAACCGGCTATAAAAAAAAATAAACTTCAAAGCCTACATTAATGGTATGTATAAAAATGAAAAAAATCGTAGAAGATTTTAGCATCTTGAAATAGACAAAGATTGTTATTTAAAGTTTATAAAAAAATTAAACATACTCTTCGTTTTTCACAACTGAATTTCAGGTTGAATATAGAAAACTGGTTGTCACAAGAAAGGAAGAAGGGAATTTAAGAAAATATTTGAAAACAAAATATTCAGCGACGTACTTGTAGGATCTTTGTGTAAATACGATGAAGTATTTCTGAAGAACACCAAAGTTTTTTCCCTCATTTATAACGTATGATAACGGACTACTATGGAAGATGAGTTCATGGCGATCATAGAAGTCAAACCAAAAACGAAACACTAACAAATATTTATGAATCTATTTGCCGCAATTTTTTTTTTTTAAATAACTGTTTAAAATTTCAGGCTGAAATCTATCCTCAAAGAATTTATATACCTCTTAATTGAAAAAAAAAATACGAACCTATTATAAAAAATGAATCATGCATAATTGAATGGATAATATGAATCGAAACCCCGCAGACCTCGCACATCTCAAGCCCATTAATTTACAGAATTAACTTCTGTTTAATTACACTTATTAACATGAAAGTGGGTGGGGGAGGGTACTGCCAGGGTAATAGGAGAAATTGTAATAAATCGATTATCTAAATATTTCATATCTCAAACTATTTAAAATGGAATGTTCAAGGCGTTAAAAAATAAATAATTCATTCCATTGAGGCAGCTAATACGATCGATTTCTTACAAGGTGAGCCAATTTTTTTTTTATTTATTTATTTTATTTTTTAATATTGTATGAGTGGATACTTTTAGATCTAGTGCTTATTGCCCTTGAGTATAGAAGATTGTGTTAGTATTCAAGAAATGATTTTCAAAAAAATTAAATTTTAAATTTTTATTTTTTCAGTTTGGTAAAAGATTCGTCTTTGATAACTTCTCTTTAAATTACCTTTTGCTGTATCTCAGATACATTTTAAGGCCTTTCTGATCAATCCTCTGTTCTAATTTAATCTTTATTTTTTCTATATATTTAAATGTTTTTTTAACCTAATGAATGATCATTCATTTACAAGTACTGATACTGGTAGGGACATTTCAAATAACCGTAGTTTTTTTTTTTCTCAATGATTATTTGAGAAATGGAAAAATTCCCTTTTTCTCCTACCGTGGATCTGGAAATGTTTCTAGTATTAAGTTTTGAAAAGGCATTTGAGAAACATTGGATGTGTTAGGCCCAACTCGTTCAGCGAATTTCGCTTTAGAATTCCTCACTTAATTTGAAACTTTTATGTTCTGTCTGACCATCCGGCCAATGGGAACTAGTCAAATTCATTATTCAAACATATCACATTCATTTTTATCTTTCTCACTACTGAAGATAGGGAAGCTTTGTATTCGTGCGAGAGGTAAAAAAAAATTTGTGCTCAGAATCGAAAATTTCCATTCACGTTTTACGTTTCAGACATCAAAGATCAAATTTGGTTCGGTGTCTGTCTGTCTATAGTAAAATCGATGTGATGGACACACCACCTACTACTGTTTATCCGATTTTCGTAAAATTTTCAAGTGTGCGAGTTGATGCATGGATGGTCCCATATCAATTTCATTTAATTCCAAGCAATACTTTCGTTTATACACGCACCAATATTTCAGAAACGGCTCCATCAATTTGGCTCACAGTTGAAAGAAAGGTGGGTTTTGGTTAAATAATGATATTGAATATTTTATAGTTGACCGTTGCATTATAAATGAAGGAGGTGGTCCGGGGTGGCGGTCATAAATAGGCTAAATAGTGGTGAAAACTATTTTATTAAAAACCAACGTTTCGATCCGACTTTGCAGATCTTCTTCAGGGCTAGGACGGACAAGATACAAAAAGATAGAGAATTGTGGAAGTTACATAATATTTAGACAAAAAATTATAAACAATGAGAATAAGCTCATTAAAATTATAAACAGCAAGTACATTAAAATATAAACATAGTAAGCTAAGTAACAAGATCCTAAACTGAAGTAAATAGATGGTAACAATTGTTGTAGTGTAATATATAATAAATGCAAATGTGAATATACTTCTACAGATCTACAGGAGAGATTGAAAGAAAAGGAAAAAGGATATAATATGAAATAATAGATATAAAGGAATGTGGAGAAAGAAAAGAAAAAGAAAAACAAAAAATTAAATAAATAAGTGAATAAAATTAGAGACTTACAGGTGTATGAAGACCTGCAAAGTCGGGTCAAAACGTTGTCTTTTAATAAAATAGTTTTTACCACTATTTAGCCTATTTATGACCGCCACCCCAACCATATTCTTCCTAAACAACGATCTATCGATTTTATTATATTCTGTACAGTACTTCTGGTTGCTCACGCGCAATTGTATTTTGTTGGATATTCTGATATTGTTCGGTTTGGCTCAAAGTTAAAGGAAAGGTCGCTTATGGTTAAATAATGATGCTTTATAGATTTTATTAAATTCTGTACAGTACTTCCGTTTGCGCACGCGTAAATGAATTTTCTAATATATGCCGATAATTCAGAAACGGCTCGTTCGATTTGGCTCAAAGCTAAAAGAAAGGTGAGAATTAGTAAAAGAACTATTATTAGTAGTAGACCTTGAGATATAGGTAAGTATGGATCCAATGAAAATGGTGAGGAAGCCATAGTGGCCTAACTTGGCAGACGTATTCTTATGTTACAGAGTATTTTTTATGTATCTTATGTTTTAAAAAATATTAAAAAAAAAATATTTTTTACAATAAAAAAACATAGACATCGAAAAAATGCTATGCTAATATTACAAATAACATTATTGAATAAATTTACCGTCGACCTAGATGGAAAGAAGTTGTAAAATAAGGGTTACGACATCTTAAAAATAGAAATATGTTGTATAATTTCAGTAAACATATAAAAAAAAACTTTTCATTCTATAACCAAAAAAAAAGAGGTAGAAGAGTGGGGAGAGGGACGAGTGGTGGGGTCGTGTCAGAGCGGCTTCAGTTACCGCTGTGGTTGCCGCTGGTTAGGTTGTTCGTTTCTCGTTCTTTTCTTTCTAAATACGTCTTCTACGCTACGGATCCTGTAAGTCTGATTTATTTTAAAATTTTATGAATCCACAGTATTAGTAATAGCATAATAAATGTATCTAAAATTTTGTTCTATTATAATTTTTAATAATTGTAAATTGCTAATGAATGTACTGAAGGAACTACTTATTCGAAAAACATTGAACAATAGAATTTAATTTTTTTAGTTCATCAATATATTAATATTTTATAATGTCTTTCCAAAAACTTTCTGTAAATAACTAATTATTAACAGTAGCATACTTATTCATATGTATTCAGTTGCAAAAAGTACAATTCTGATGGAATTGGACTTCAAAAAACGTTTTTGTGACAACACAGGAAGTACTCTAAAATGATACAAACTCTTTTATATATCCAACATAGTTATGACAACCGTAAATTTTTTTGAATTTACAAAGGAAAAATCATAAGAATTATTATTAATTTAAGGTCATGAAATGCCACTTTTTTTAATAAACCGACAATGCATATATTTTGTAATGAATATATCCCCTTATGAATTAGTTAACAGTTATCACTTTTTTTTTTTTGCCCTCAAGATTTTATTCGAAATCTTATTTTGAAAGTTATATCTTGTTCGAGGTTTCTACATATTTATTTAACATAAAATATTTTTATTTCTTAACGTAGAAAAAATACAACCTAGAATCAGTTGTGTTTAGCTGTTTATTTTTATTTATCAATTGTAAATAAGTGTAAATTATCATCAGACATTCCTCTCAGGTTCTTATGAGTTGAGTGGACTCTCAGTTGATTAATGAAAACAACCTGAATTAATATTTCTGAAGACCTTATCTGAATAACCAAAGATAAGATGATTAAACATGAATGTCATGTTAATTTTAAGTATGCTATATTATTAGAGACAAAGATATAGTATTAGAAAACAGAATCTCTATATCGAATTTCGTGAGTAGGTTTATTTGAAGAAAGGAGATAAGTCCATCATCGGTTTTCAGTTTTGTATCGAGGTTAGAATATCGAACGAAAAGTAAGTTCTTGAAACGGTAAATATTTCGTGAGGCGATCGATTTGCGAAGGCCCCAGTTTGGAATTCTTTATTAATAATTCGAAAGGTAGCATCTTATATGAAAGAGCTAGAATACATGACAGAAATAACCTGCCCTGACGTAGACCATAATTTACTGGTCGCCATGGTGAGCCCGCTCCGATAGGTTTACTCTCTCTGTCTCTCCATGAATATTTTAAATGCTATAATACACTTTTATTATTGCCTGCCATTGTTTGTTATGAACAAAAATAAATATAGCAATTAGTGGTATTTCTTTTAATGTTAATTAAATAGAGTAAAATCAAAATTAGCGTATACCGATGTCATTATTATGTTCACTTTTTTTGAACTCAAATTAATAATAAATGCATAGGGGACCCTACACGGTCAATCGGAATTGTACTAATGACGTTCCGAATTGTCGTGTAAGGTAGTGAATGAAGTACTGATGGTGGTGCGCTGCGGATTTCCGAACATCCGGAAATCAAAGGTTCATTCACGAGAAGTGATAGGTTAGGTTACCTAGGCCTCACAACCATTATAAATATCTAATTTTCATTATATGTAAATAGTTAAATAATTTTTCATATCCCTTGTTTATAATTTTAAACCATCTTCAACTATTTCTTTTAAATAGTCAAGTGGGCAACAAATTAAAAAAAAAATGAGGAAACTTCACAATTTACTTTAGGAAAAAAAAACTTTAACGTTGTGTATATTTATCAGTTCTTTTCCCATTTTCCTCAACAAATTTATTATTTTCGCAATACCTTTCCTTAATTTTTGGAAGTAGTAGACTTATATTTAACTAACTTTTGTCAAAACGATTTTCTATGAGACTAACCTTACTACTAGATAGGTTAGTTTACCTAAGTCTCGTTATTAAGTAAATAATTTCATAAAAGTAAATAGTTGTTTATATCCCTATTCTATGTTATTATTAACCATTTTCAACTATTTTTTCTTTAAAAAGTCAAGTAGACAATAAATTGGAGAGAAAAAAAAGTGGAAACTTCACATAAGTAATGATCAATAATGATTGAACGTGTAAGGGTCTTCATGATCAAAGCGATAGCGGGCAATCTTGGAACTTTTTGTGACGTTCATTCATGAATTACCGTGTAGGGTACCCTTATGATCTATTGTGAACAAATTAAATCATCTATACCATAGGTGGGGAACCTGCCGGCTCCGTGACTCAAACTGCTGTCTCAAACATTTTTGAGCTATATTTATTGATATAGCCTTAAAATTAATTAATATAATTAATAGAATAAGTTTATTATATATACACGGGTGTGTGTATTTAGTAATTTAAAAAAAAAATTGAAACAGTGAAATATAAAGAATTGTTGCGACCTCCATTAGCGCTGCCCAATAGTCCGTGATACAGACCTCATTTTATCAAATTATTAACATCCGCTTGAAATGTCGTGAATAGCTTCATCCCACCGTAACCTAAAACTTTTTTATTTACGAAAATTTTTGGAATCGAAGCGTTTTCAATCTCTGGCGATCGGCAAACTTTGTCTATTTAATTAGGCACTAAAAATTCACGAACACCCGTTTACTTTTCACTTGAATCGTTTCATAATGTGATAACAAATTCGAGAATAAAGGTGGCCTACATAAATATCGGGCCGTATGGTGTGACATTCTCAACATGTCAAAGTTACGAGGTTATATAGGTCAAACGGCCCGATATTTTTGCGATCGAATTATTTTATCATTCGAGTGGAAAGCAAATAAGTATTTAATAGTTTTTAGTACCTAATTAAATTAATTAATTTAATGAGAAAAAGACCCATCTCTGAGAATTTTCGTAGATAAAAAATGTATAGGTTACGATAAGATGAAGTTTTAGGAGTATGTTAATAATTAGATAAAAAGGGGTCTGCAGCACGGGCTATTACTTTACTGCGGCCTATAATGATAAAAAGATTGCCCACCTACGATCTGAACCGATACTCCTTGTATAGATGTATATTATTTTATCGTGTATTTTACCCAGCTTATTAATTTATTATTTGAAATTAGATTAGATTACTGCAGCACTTACTAGACAAACGATCTAATCTTTCAATCAATTATAAACGACTCGTATATATGACAATAATAAGACCTATTTGGACTTACGGAAATGAGCTTTGGGGCTCCACTAAACCATCGAATTCCTCTCGAATCCAATCCTTACAATTCAAAATCTTTCGTAAAATCCTCAACGCTCCTTACTTTGTCATAATAAAATAAAAATAAATAAAATCATCCATAAAGACCTTAATGTTCCATATGTTTCCGATTTGGCCCAATCCAGATACCTGTCCTTCCATAACAAACTGCAGAACCATCCGAATCCTCTCGTTTCAAACCTTGCTTCCTCCTCGATCCCTGATAACCCTCCGAGGCGCCTGAAAAGAAGATGGCCTCGGGATCTTCTAATATAGAACTTTAATTTGAGTTCACTTTTAGCCCTAATGCTTATAGCCCTCCAGCAGTGGCTGATTGTATTATTATTCAATAAACAGATTAAAAAAAAAAAAAATTTGAGTTCTACCAATGGGTAGTTTCTCTTCATGTTGTACATGTCATGTTATCAATTTCACATTTACTTGTTGTATTTTATATGTAATACAGTTGTAAATTCCATTAAAATAATAATAAAAAAAAGATTAGATTATTTCTGAAATTGCACAATAATGTAATATAAAATAAAATAAAGCTAAAGAAAATAAGATATAAATTGCGAATTCCAATCATAAAGCTTTGAGCAGCGTCCAACAACATTAAATATTCCACTGTGTCTTTGAGTCTATATTACTGAAATTTTCCATTTATATCTTTAAAATCCAGTTAACTCCTTTAAATTGTGTTTCCTAGAAATCTTAAGATTTAAAAACATTGTTCAGATATTCTAGGAACCTGTAGTAGCTATAGCAAACTGATGGAGGCTAGACGCACAGTCTATGTATAGAATATAGAATCTAGCGATACAAAAATCTAGAAGCCATTGTATTGATAAACCAATATTTTTTCCTCATCAAGACTGACCTTTTGATGTTAAAAAAGTCATTGAATGATTTGTAAATAGTTTTTGTCTAAAGCCAATATGTTTTTTATATTCAATAAAAAATCTTTACTATAATAAAATATCATTTACATTTATACATAGATCATAAATTTATTTTTCATTGTCTGGTATTATTATTAATATGCTCTACAGTCCTTAGTGGCCATAGGCCTGAGAAATAAGCATCCGTCAGGCTTCCATATCGCCAACTATTATTCTCCATTTCATCTATCGACTACTTTACTTATATCCTTTTTTCCTACTTTCATCCGGCAGATAAAAATAGTTTCTAGAATTTTTTTTCGAGTGGGAGCCAACTATTATTTTAGATTATGTTGAAATGCGTCAACATTACTTATCAATAATGATAAAAAAAGCTGTCTTGGAGAGCTAGAATTTTCACTCAAATCAATGACTAATTGCTCCAAAATCAAATTTATAATTTACATCACAATTTAGTGGGGAGTGGGGTAACTCAGTGGTAGGATACTGAGCTTCCAATGGTAAAGGTCCCAGGTTCGAATCCCGGCTCATGGCAGAAAAATTATTTATTTTAGGTAGAACCCCTGTAGACCCTTTTAGGTAGGTAAACCCTCCTGGGGCACACCCAGCCTCTATAAAGTGGGTACCCTTAATTAAAATAATTTATTCAGGGGAGAAAACCTGGTGGTTGAGCGTGATCGCGGTCAAATCAAATCCTTGCACAACATTAGACCAAGAAACAGTGCTTTCCCTAAATAGTACTGAACCCAAGATCTTTCATGGGTCGTAGTGGTACCGATTTTTTTTTTTTTTGTTTTATCCTGACTTCTGGCCATGCAATTCCTTTAACTTTAAAAATATATTTTAGATAATCTTCCCAAGTAACTCTTCCTCTAGATCGTTTTCCCGCTAGTTTAGCCTCCATAAACAG